GTGGTTTGACACGGAAAGATAATTTTTCTTGGAAAGAAGAGGTCAATTTAGATATTGACTAATTGAAAGTAGACACGTCTCTGAGAACACAGAGGGGTTAAAAGCAGAATTTTCAGGGAAACTTGCTCTTTTTAGTTCCAGTCAGCGTGCAGTGTAGATTTTCCCCTGCCCAGCCACGAGCTGGGTGGGGGAGGGGAAGCTCCCATGGCCTGAGAAAGGTAAGGCCGAAAGCCCCAAGGGTGGTAAAAAGACTAGAACCGGGCTGGCCCCTGCAGATAGAAGGGTGGAAGAAATCTGGGATGTCTCTATTTCCTCCCTCAGAGTTCCTCTCCCGAGAGGGAGAGAGAAAGCCGCAAGGAAGGAGGAGCGGGGGGAGCTGCTGCAAGGTGCCCAGTCGCGTGGGAGTTGCTGGATGTCTGGGCATCGAGCCGTCCTGGGACTTCGGACTTTTAACCCTTCCTTGAGAAATAAAAGCTTTATGAATTTTCCTTTCCCCTCCTCAGTTTGAAAAAAAAGAAGAGGGACACCTTGGACCCTGGGATGGGATGTTGGAAGGAGGAATTCTAGATAGGAGGGGGACAAGGAGTAGCTTTTAGCTGGACTTTTCCATGTTAGCCACAACCTGAACCAAATCTTCTCCTTCAAGAAGGACTGTGTTTTAAGAGGATGCCAGTGAGTCAAGAAACCTACTTCAGCTAAGAAAAAGACAAAAGTAGAGTGAACAAAGAAAAAGTTAGGAGGTTTGTAGTAGCGCCCCCTTGCCCTAGAAAAAAAAGAGAAGAGAAGAAGATCTCTGTTCTTGAGCCCTCAGCCCCAAGGGAAAATGGGGGGGACTCTGGTCCCAAAAAAATGAAAAACTAAACTATTGTTTTCTCCCCTCTTGGCAGGGCATCCTTAAAAGGAAAAATCCTAAAGGCAGTGACCATCCATACATTAATAGTAAGAGCACTGTGCATGGAAAGGAGAAAGGTCACCATGGCAAACTTTTTCTCCAGGCAGTGCCATGTGTAACATAAAAACACAAGATATAAAGCTGTGTTTCTTGAGAGGTCTGTAGCACAGGAAAAACTCTATTCCCTTAATAGACTGAATATCAATTGCTTAAAAGGTAGAAACCTGATTGGGGTCCAGATTGTGTCTCACTGTAGTTTGTTGGAGTTAAGTGGTGGGGGGAGGAATGTTTTGCAAAGTTTTCATTTAGATCTTTGTGTAGTTTTTTTTCCCTTCTTTAGTTTTCTCTTTTCTTTTGTAATAGTAGTTTAATAAAGTTTTTTTTCCTATTATCAAATTTAAGCCTACTTTATTGTATTCTAAATTCCACTTTACAGCATTCAAAGTAAAAATCACATTTTCATAAAAACACTGGCATTGTGCCAGTGTCAAACCATATCAATCACAAAGTGAAATCATTCCGGTGTACTTCTCTTTCTTGTTGTATTTCCATTCACTGTCTTTTCAAACTTTTCTGTAGAGATAATACAAGCTTGTAGAATAAACCAGATAAGGAAAGAAAACTCAGAAACATTTACATTATTACTATCTGGCATGACAGGAAAAGATATTAAAAGGAACTTATAGAAAGTGATTTTATTTTAAGTTTGGGTTTTGTTTTTTGGTTTGTTTGTTGGGTTTTTTTTATATTTAATTAATTTACTTCACATAAAGGCCCTCCTTAAAGGGCTGTAGATTAATAAAAAACTGAATTCTTCTTCTTGTTAAGCTTTCCATAATAAATGCCACCGTTACTGTGTAGAGTACAGTGGATATAAAAATGAACATTTGCCTAGCTTGGCATTTGTGTGACTGAAAATGCCTTTGTCAGCCCACAACTGTTAGAATCATACAGTTGTCCAATCTATTTCTAACACCAACCAGACCAAAATTAAACAGGTGTGCTGCAACAATAAACTGGATCAACTTTCTTGCACAATATACAATGACATTTTCCCCTTTTCTTTTTTAAACAAATTATCACATAGAAGTATCCCCTAGATATCCTTATATATCCTTTATACTTCAGTATCCTTTAGATATCCTGGATAGATATTTAGTATTCCTCTACCCATAGGAAAAGCCTATTTTAGGCTATAAAGACTTTAAATGCAAAACAATGAGCTTACCTCAAGATCTGTTGAAAGATGTAAATTTTTACTGGGGGGAATTAGAATTCCACTCTCTGATATTGCTTTATGAAAGAGACCCTTAGATAAAGGAGATAACACCTGCCAAGAAGGGAAGAACAAAAAGTATTTATTCTACATTAACATCCTTACCTTACAACTTAATGCTAGCTATAGTCTATTAACTCATGGATTCAGTTGGGAATTATACATCTTGGGATTTATACATCTTTATTTCCTATATCTCCAGATTTAGCCCAATGCGCTGTTAAATTTACGGTCAAAAACCAGATTAAACATGAAATGTTACATTAATTAAGCTTTCAAAGACTTTTATTTTTATCTACTATATACCTACATGTGCAAAAACAGAGCAAGCTCCTGCAGATATCCCGAAGAGAGTGACAGATGCTGGGTCTCCACCGAAGTGCTCGATATTTCCTCGGACCCACCAAAGAGCAGCGACCTGATCCAGGTACGCCCAGTTCCCGCGGGCGTGCTCGTCACCAGTGCTGACAGGAAAGCAGCAGAGCCACTCCTCAGCAGCAGTGACAGTGACAGTGGCACAGCAGAGGCCACCCCAGCAATCTGTGTTTGCTGCAAAGGGACCTCCAGCCCCCCACGCTCACACCTCAGCCCCTGCCCACCCCGGCTCAGGCAGACCCCTGGCCTGTGCTCCACCCGAGGCTTTGCTTTACACAGCAGAGCATGGAAGCAAAGGCCAGAACAAACATCCTGCCCAGCATCAAATAAGCAGGCTGCAATCACATGGCCATGCAGGTGGAATGCACAGACATTTCTTGGTGTTCTGAAGTCCTGATGTCAGTGAATTTTGTACATTTAAACCACTCTAACAGTGGGAAGCTGATATAAAAGTTCAGCACATTTAGCAAACAGAACTACCCGTGCTTTAAACGTGACAGCAAGTACTTTGTAAAAAGTGAAATAAGTGTTCTTACTTAAAGTACCCAAGGAGTCCCAGTCTGTACTGAATTAATACCACCACAACATTCTCGTAGGCTGACAGTGCAGAGCCATCATACCGAGCAGCACCACCAAATATAAAATTGCCTCCATGGATCCACACCATTACCTTGGAAACAATAGGGTGAGACACACCTTAACGCGCTGGTTTGCAGATTTCACTTGAAAAAGGAAAACAACGTCAGATAATTAGGAACACCAAATCACTGAAGCACGATGGCTGCTGAATTTCAGACTGGTGATCTTGGAATTTTACATGCTAATATTATTTCTGCTTGTGCAGCATCACATTTTCAAAAGCAATAAACTCTCTTAAGAGCAATCATTACTTGCAAGCTTTATAAATCACAAGTTTGTTCAATGGTTTACATACAGGTAACTTGTCCTTCTTGCTTGAGCCAGCGGGGCTGTAAACACTGAGATACAAACAGTCCTCAGAAGTTTGGAATGCAAGGTGCTTTTCTTTAAAGTTTTTTTCAGCTATTTTCAACAGGGACAGATCTTGAGGACAGCTTCACCAAGGGAAGAAAAAAAAAAAAAAACAACACAATTATTTGTACTAAACCTACAATAGCATCAAAGTAACAACAGTAGAGAAAACACATTTCTTTTGGTCCCAGCTGAATCCCCACAGGGTGCTTGAATTTTGTGTTACCTATAATCACTGAGAGGTACAGCCTGTAAAAGCACATCTCCACACCTGTACTAGAAATACTCCAGTACTGGCAGTGTATCCACCACCAAGTACCAACAACTCAGCAGAAGCAGCCTCTGCACCCCAATAAACACAACTCTGCAGCACGGGCAGCTTCTGGCTACAAAAGAACTGCTCTCACAGCGGTGGGTAAGAAGTTGCATCTCTCACACCACTCCAGGGTTCAGGCGGTTCAGGTGGAGAAAACCTCAAGGATCCAAGAGGGGCTTTTGCAAAAGGAATTCCAAGGAAAACATTTACAAGCTTGTCTGTGCCCTTCACGCTTGTCTGTGTTCCTTTGAGCCGTCCAAGTGCAATAGTCACCTCTGGCTCAGCACCACTCTGTCCTAAGTAACACAATAGATAAAAAAATAATGAATTAAATTGCATCTTCATAATTATCTCACAGACTATCCCATTAAGTATTTTTAACTGACTGTTTAATTTAGAACATTTCAGTTTATTCCTTTCAATTTTGTTCAGTTTTCATTTTGCTTTGGTGCAGTGAGAGACACCCCCTGCCAAACCCTCCTGCCATTTATACCTGGAGCCATGTAGGGCAGGATATTGTCACTATACAAGAACAAATTTCAGAGCAAACAGCAAAACCATTGGCATTTGCTAAATCTATCATTCAACAAGATCTTAAAAATATTTTGTTTAGAGAATTCACAAATGTTGCTGCTTTCTACTTTTTAAAAAAGACAGAAAACTTAATTTTCATTTTATCATCTCAAAACCAGTAATTTTTGCATCATGAAGGCATTTTTGCAGATTGGTAACCAAGGCACAAGAGATTTACCGCCTTCGTAAAAACCATCGGGAGCTGGTGCAGCGGTTTCCCCGGCAGCAGCAGCAAGTCGCGGGGCTCACCTTCTGTCCCGCACACGAGGAACAAGGCTGCGCTACAAAACAAGGCGCAAAGCCACGCGATCGGGCTCGCAGGAGACATTTTCAGCCCCCGTGGGGCTCCCGGGGACTCTCTCCTGCGGAACAGGAGGGGACAAAGGTCCCAGCGAGGGCACTCGGGGCACGGAACCTGCAGGGAACGCCCCGAGAGGGGCGAAGGCAAACGGGAGTGCCGGACCCGGGGGCGGCACAGCCCTGACTGATCATCGGCACGGCCCCTGATTGATGATCGGCACAGCCCTGACTGATCATCGGCACGGCCCCTGACTGATCATCGGCACGGCCCCTGACTGATGATCGGCACGGCCCCCCCATCACCCGCACAGCCCCTGATCGATCACCCTCACAGCCCCGATCACCGGCGCGGCCCCGACCGCCGCCCCGCGCTCCCCGGTGCCGGCGGTGCCCAGCGCCGCCCGGCAGGCGCCACGGAGCGGCAATCGCAGCTCATTCACCGGCTGTCCGTGCTGGCGGCGGAGAAACAGGGCGAGTCTGAACGCACTCCACAGCTTAAATACTATGAAGTTCTTTAAAACCCTCTTAAAACAACAAAAGTATCACCAAAACACCACGACAAGCAAAACAAAGCAACAAAACCCCTAATCCGCCCTCCGCGCCCCAACAACCGGGAGGAGAGATTGCAAATAACTAAAAAGTAACAAAAGAAAAATAAGCAAACCAAATCAAAATAGTTAAGACTTGCTTTAATCCCCTTTTAGAGGGGTGTATGAAGCCAAAGCATGTCATTACTACACTCTGCCACTTCAGTTTAAATTTGCGTGGGGTTCTTTTGTTTGACTTTTCAAAGCAGAGAACATTTCAACAAGTCGCATGGGAGCATCCTTGGCGGCGCCAGGCCCAGCCCGGAGCTGGGCGGACACTGAAGTGTGTCTGTGTGT